TCAGCACCCCACAATTCCCTACAGCACATCCCGACCTTGTATCCACAGACTTCATCGGAAGATGTTTCAATACAAGATCGGGATGTGCTGTGGGGCATTGTGGGGCGCTGATGTGAACTCGAAGGAAGAGGGCTAAATTCAAGCCACAAGTTTCGGACAGTGCCTTTTTACCTGGGGCATTCAGCTTTACACGTATTTCAACGTGATAAGCCCTCCTTGAACTCGTAATTATTGTCTTTGAACGAGCATCTCCAGTAAGGACCCAGAAGCCCTTATTATTAAATATACTTTGTTTTAAATTTCTTTAGTTTGATTACGAGATTACAATAAACAAATCCTCACTAGTCACTAATCAAATCATCATCACACAAACATGGATATAAGTAAAGTAAAACCCATCTAGCTACAAGAGATTTGGGGAATGAATTCATGACTCAGTATTCTTGAATTGTTTTATCTATCAGATGGGCTAAAGAAAATTGCTTATGTTCCTTAAATTTTGATGGATGTGCAAGAATTGAAGTTGAAAAGTTGTTTTAATGATTAATTCGTTAATATTTCCTGTGTTTGTCACTGAAATCATGAAGATAATAATGTAGTCTTATCAATAGCCATTTTCATAAGGGAAAAAAAAAAAAATAAAATGAAATGAAAAACCAAAGGGCATCAAAAGGGTAAGTTGGGAAAATAGAGATATGGTCTATTATTTGATCAAGTCCCTCTAAGAAACCGCTTACAGCCAAATTTGAAAACCACTTTTTGGAACAGACAAAGTGGTTTCTTTCTTCTTACATCTATATTAAAGCCCCAAATCTCCAATCCCTGTAATTCTTTTGCACCCACAAAAAACTATCCAACAAAACCATCCATGGCAACTGATCGATTCCTGTTTCCAAACTAACCTCCTTATTGCTTTGAGTACACAAGAAAAACCTACTTTCTTTGTAGCTTTTTCACTACTCAAAAGGACTCACAATTCTTTGCTTTTCTTGTTTTGGATTTGTTGTAGATTTACAAAGAAGAAAAGATGATTCAAGAGTTGTTAGGAAATACTAGTGCAGGACTGGTAGGAGGAGAGAGGAACATCTCGATTGGTGCTGGAGTTTTAGAAGGCTCATCACCATCTCTTTCGTCTTCTTCTTCTACAACGACAACAGCAACAACAACTACTTCAACTACAACCACCACAACATCATCAGGATCCTCAGAGCACCAAAATGTGAGGTGCCCAAGATGTGATTCTTCCAACACCAAGTTCTGCTACTACAACAACTACAACCTCACTCAGCCTCGCCACTTCTGCAAGACCTGCCGACGGTACTGGACCAAAGGTGGCGCCCTCCGTAACGTGCCGATCGGGGGCGGCTGCCGGAAGAGCAAGAACACAAGTATGTCCACAGCTTCAGCTGCCAAATCAAGCATGGGGAAGGTCAAAGTTGCATCAGAGATCGTTAAATCGAGCCTTGGAAGTGGGTTTGATCACGACCCGCCATCTAACCCAATTTTATGGGCTACTCCACAGAATTCTCAACTGTTAGCCTTACTGAGAGCAAGCCAAAACCTTAACCCTAACCCTAACCCTAACCCCATTTGTAATCCAGTTACCATCAAAGATGAGGCGGGTATTATCGGATCCCATGTCACGTCGGACTCATCAGCAGTGACGGGTGCAATAAATGCACGAGTCCTGAACCTAGATCCTCTGACTCAGGTTCCAATTGGATTATGCAGCTCATTCTGGAGAAACAATCTACATCAAACACACCACCACCACCACCACCAATCTCATCAGCAACAGCACACATTATTACTGGGTGAAGTTCAGAATTCAGGGATTCAAGATCTTTATCAAAGGCTCAGACAATCCGTGAATTACTATGATAATTCGGCATCAGTCCAGAGTAATGTGGCAGCTGTTGCAGCACCATCATCATCGTCTTCGTCTATCATAGAACCAGCTCCTGTTGCTGGAGGGGAACTGGGTTACTGGAATGCCGCGTTTTCATGGTCAGATCTATCAACAACCAATGGTGCATTTCCTTAAGGACCTCGGCTCTTCCTTCTCTATTTTTAAGTAAGTTATTTTTCATTTGGGTTTTCCATTGTTTGCTTGTTTGGGGATATGGTATATGAATATGGTTGAAGTATCAGTCTGTTCTATCTGGTTTTTTTTTCTTCCTTTCAACTTATTCTTAACTAATTTTAGTGCTTTTCTCTGTGTGTTTTAAAGTGTGGTTACCTTGTGAGTGTATGTACCAAGAAGCAGGAGAGAAGAAAAAACAAAGGAAAATGGAAAGATTATTAGGTGTTTCTGAATGTTTTCATTTATATGAGAAAATTAAAAAGAGCTCATGTTTCACTTTGTATCCATTTACTGTCTACATAAGATGTCATTTTATAATTATCAACATGCAGAAGTATTCCAAGGTTTCATTTCTTTTTCCTTTTTTCTCTTGAATTTTTAGCGTGGTGGTCAGTAAGACTTCATCAAGATTGATCAGGAATATATGCTTAAAGTACTTGAATTAATTCTTCTTTTTTTCCACATTTTTTTTCTGGATCTATATTTAGATAAAGAAGAAAAACATAGACAACAGGAAAAAGAAAAAAAGAAAAAAGAGTTTTCATAATTCTTCACCCTGGAAGCTGTATGATTTCTTTTGCATCGAAGACGAGGTGGTAGAAATTAATGGTGGGTCGTAGATGGAGATTCCTTGGTTGTATTGTTGTGTCAAATGGTCAGTGAAGGGATAAAGTGACGTTCAGAAAGTGCTGCCAGAAACAGCATATTGATTCCGATTCTTACAGTTGGAAGGGTTCCGTTTGCAGCTTTATCTTGGAGAGTTGTTTTTGTTATTGCCTGCTTTCTTTGAAACTTGCAGCCATATTCTCGCTAAGTACCGTTGCAATATAGATTTATGTCTTTGGGTTTTATAGCTTCTTGTCGCTCGAATATCAATGAAGACATCTTTACTCTTGCTCGCTAGCTTCCAGTCTTCTTCCCACACCTCTCTCTCTCTCTCTCTCTCAATTATTGAACGTGTAAGAAGAAGATAATGTAGGGTTGGCTCTTGATTCCAGGCAAAGTTCTCCCAGTGAGGTTGCAGATTTCATCCTCTTGAGACTTTAGTTTTATAGATAATGTTGATTTCTTTGTGGGAATAGTCTTAAATATAAGATATATACATACGTAAGGATCTATGAGAAGAAAGTAAAAGTAATAGAAATACAAACTCAAATTAATCCATGTGGCTTCCAAACTTGCTCTTCATTTTTGCAATTTCCCTTCCAAACTCCAGAACTGTGATCAGAGGCGAAAAGGTGAAAGAAAAGTTGGAGATGGATCATTAGAATATGAAACATGGAGTTGGACACAGATTCGAATAATATTCAAATGCATGAATTATATCACCATAATGAATAACGACCATAAATGTCTAAAAGCAACCTAAATTTCTGTAAGGAATCAACATCCATTCTTTGTCTGTGCATTAATAAGAGAAAATTCTAAATCATATAAGTAGAATTGATGTTGTATGGGTTAAATAACATGTGTTTAGTAGGTTAAAACTAAGGGTAGTGTTGTTGAACGGGACGATTGAACCATTTGAACTGTCACCCGACCTCTTTTTTTATGTCTGTTTTTCAAAAGTCAATCCAAAAACCATTGATTTGGTCAAGATCCACCTGATTCAAGTGAATGAACTGTTTGACCCAGCCATTGGTCATGGGTTGGTTATACACCACATTATAGCAAAACTTGCAAAAGGCCATAACTTTGTGCTTGGTTGTTTGGTTGGGGTGATTTTTTTTTTTTGTTTTAGAACTTGAGTAACTTGTTGAGACCTACGTGTTCCAAGGTGTTAACGGTGCCTTGGCCCAGCTATTTTTGCAAAAGCTAGAATTTCCTTTTTTATCCTCAAGTTCTAATTTTAGCATTTTTATGAATAAAAAAAATGTCAAAAGCTAAAATAAAAAATATAAATTACATAAAATAATAAATACTCGCAGCACACACACATATGTACAGAGATATACACATGTATGTATGTATGTATATATGTATGTAGCTATGTTGACATGTCAAGTTCTGTCCTATTTGAACAACTGACCCACAACTTAGAGTAAAAAATGGTTCAGCCTCTAGGTCATTACTTTTTCTTTGTAGCTATAACAGAATGTTTATTTATCAGAGAGAGAGAGAGAGAGAGAGAGAGAGAGACTTTAGATGGCCTAAGTCAGATAATGAAAGCCACCAACCACGTAGAAACTTCATGCCATTAAGAAACTGCATAGCATTGGGCAGAACTTAGTAATTTTCACTGCTGATGATGTTACACATAATTGGGGGGGGGGGGATATCTTATAAAATATTAACTAAATATATAATGAAAATAGTTGGCAAAATTATATGCAATTCTCATGAAATATAAATTTCACATGATAAGCATATAAGGTGCATTATCCAATGTCCCATTATATGGGGTCTTGGGAGGGGTAGATTAGATAGGGACCTAACTTTTGTCATTTTTCTTTTGGCTCAAAACGGTTATTCTCATACTTGAACCCACATCTCACACTTGTCAGCCTGAGATTTTACTATTCAGCAAGCTTTAGATTTTGCATGGCAATCATATGTTGTATCTCTCTCTCTATCTATCTATAAAATAAATCCTCGGCCATGTATGTTTTATGTTCCCAAAATTCTTTTGGAAAACTTTGGTTGTCAAAACCTAGCCATTTCCTTATGTACTATTGCAAATTATACAATATGCATAAAACTTCATTAGTTCTATTGGATTAATTGCGTCTATCTATATGCAATCCTTACGGAAACATGGCTTGGGAAAAAAAAATCATATTGGAGCAAGATAAAAAACAATCAAATTCACTAGATGCATGCGTGTCACTTATAAATAGAAAATTTGTTTGGATGTTCACATCATTTTTTTTTATGATTTCTTTTTGAAAACTATGGAACATCGATCACATTGTAATTAAATCATAAAAATTGTTTCTCAATATATTTAGTACAGACTTATAAGGAAAACAACAGATTTAAATGATTATGATTGCCATATGAATCTTACCGTCCAGAAAAAAATAATCACATTTAACATTCCTGATTTAAATTTTTATTTTATTTAACTGAATATGACAGCTGAGGTTTAAGCGTGCATGGGAAGGTGCTCTTGCTAATGTATTTGTTTGTTCTTGTTTAGGAATCTAATATATATAGAGACAATGGGCTATGGTTGATTAAACTATGCATAACTCTATAAAATTTTTGAAAGGAAAAGAAAAAAAATCAAATAGAGCTGGTCATTAATTTATAACCAAAAAATTGAAAAATTGGGTGCAAAGATGAGAAAAGAAAAAAAAAAAAACAGATGAACAAGTTAATGTAGATGCAGAATGTTATATTACAAACTTTAATAGATAAAAAAGAAAAATTAAATTGAAGCAATGTTAAAATTTCAGGATATAACTTGAGAAATATTATAGTTAAACTGCCTAGCAGTACTCATGGATATTGGAAGTAATATTAACTTTATTTTTTTCTAATTTTTAAACTATAAATTTGTCAAAATTCAAGATTTTTTTTTCTCTTGAGAGGGGGGGGGGNCATTTCATATGCCTAAATAATGCAAATATCTTATATCAAGATCAAGAAGAATAAGAGTATTGGTGAGGACAATGTCACCAGTCGTCACTACATCATATTATAGTCTGCTGAAAAATCATTAATGAAAGTTTCTAAAGAAAAATCACAGGAAGAACTAAGGAATGATCAAGGTTCAAAATATTGATACGCCCAATATGTTGGTATGGGCGTATCAGGCGAATTGATACTGCTTTTTTTAGTTTTTTTTTTATTTTATTTTTTCTGAAACAGGTTCAGGGTAGCCAGTTTAGGACTCCTCCATCCCTTGAACCGGTCAGACTCCCGATGTACCCACCATAGGGGCGTATTGGAGGGGTCCTGGAATGATATGTATTGGTCGATATGGGCTGATATGTGTCGATACTTTGAACCTTAGGAATGATTAATGATAGATTTAGAGAAAATAATTATGTGATGGTACCCTTTATTCTTCAAAGCATATTATTATTTCTAGAATCCTCGTATATGAATTGAATATTAGCTAGCAGCCTATTTCTTGTATTGACGACATTATATGGTATATTAATTTGCACTTACATATTTTAAAGATAATGCTGTAAAAAGATTAATTCTAAATAATGCCCCTTTAATATTTTAGCTATTTGGTGCATTAGAACTCTTGCACAATCCTTATTGATGGATGCATGTCACTAAGCAGATCGTCCCGACCAAACTATCAGATGGGCAGAACATGTAAAAAGAGTAGTTCAGATCATCATAATCATGTAAGACAGGTTTAAGCTAGTCGGATCATTTAAGCCATATTTGGTTTGAAGGAAAAAGTAGGTAAAGGAAGAGAAATGTGGGGAAATCTTTACAAATCTTATATAGGTTTTCCTATGTTTTCCTTCCTTTCCCTACCTTTTTCTTCAAACCAAACATAGCCAATAGAAAAATCCTCAACTACGAAAGAATCTGAATCTTCCATGTGATGACAAACTATTGGGGCTCCACATGTTTCAGACATAATCCACTATTCATGGAGCAGATTTCAGTCTGAAAACTCTTTGTTTTCGAAATATGCTCTTATGTAGCCATTGCTCTAAAGTAAAACTATCAACTTTGGACAGCTGATAATGGATAGAGTACATGATGGTTTTAACTTTTAATTAACATCTATGGGATTGAAATTTGAATGAATAACCAATTTAAAACTTCCTATCTATCTAATGATTCTGATGGACTGTTCAGAGATTGGCTGCATGCTGCACCGTTTTAAAGAAATGGGTGAAGCTGTTTGCTGAATAAGCTTAATTAACCTTCTACCCAAAATGTTTTGGATTGAATAATATAAATGGAAAATTCCACTTTATTATCTTGAGCTTTGGGGTAATCTCAAACGCGTCACTGTAGTATTTAAAATTTTAAAATGGGTTAAGTCAGTCCAAAACCGTTAATCCATGTTAAGTATTATATAAAAGGACAAAATTGCCCTTCACCTATCATCTAATTTTCTTCTCATTCGTATCGGATCTCTAACCACCCCCTCCATTTCAGAAACTCTGTAGACTGTAGTTGCAATTATTGGGTCCTGCATTTGGAGCATAGACTCAGATATAGATTTCTTTATGAAGGTAAAAAAATGACAAAAACAAAACATGAAAAGATGTGGCTGCTCTGGTTCTCTTCAACAAAGACGTGTTCATGGGTCAAGTGTTGATGGGTCCGACTGTACGTGCACTGGTGTTCATGGCTTCGGATTCATCAATTCACATCCTTTATTCTCTCGTCAAGTCAATCCAACTGTGGCTTAGTATTATTATGGTTCAGTCTTGAGGTAGAAGACAATTAACAGTGTTTTGTTTTCAAGGGTAGTTTTGACATTTTGAAAAATTTGAAGTGGCACGTCATATGTGATAAGATAGCTGACAGACTGTTAACGGTAGAGATTAAATTGACACTTTTTGATAATTTGGATACTAACTTGACACTACCCCCAAAGTTCGGGGTACTAAAATAGAATTTTCTCTAATATAAAATGGTGAGAAACATGTATTGTCGCATCATATATGAGAGTCACTTCAACCAAAAAAAAAATATACAGATATAGGACTGATCAGTGACGTTTATAGTTAAAGCATCAAATTTTGATGTTGATGTTTTATATAGAAACAACAATTTTTATTGATCAACCCAAAATGTTTTAGACAAAAAAAAAAAAATTCTTTTAGAAATATGTATTCATCAGCTCAAAATATTTTAGATAAAAATAACAATGATACCAAATACAAACACTTCTACATTTTCTTTGTCGGGGCAAATGATGCTACCAAGCCATTATTTTACTGAATAAGTGAAAATCTTTCTTTGTTAGGTAAAAAACCTTGTGGATAAAGAAGTAATTAAGAAGGCTTGGAGAGGAAAATCTTCCCAAGAATTAGTATGAAGTAAGAACATTGTTTGGCAATATTAATTTTAAGCAGATTTGCCAGTAGGGTCGCCTAATTAAGAAGTCTAAGTGAACCTTGAATCTTCCACGTGGCAAGATGGTATGGGCTGAAGAGGGGCCACATTTTCCTCTCTATTCATGACCTTTTGCCACGTGGTCAAATTTATGGGTATAATTAAAATAAAAAATATAAATATCATCAAATTACTCCAGTCCATTCATATATATAAAATAAAATGTATGTTTCCTTCTTTTCCTTTAAACTTGAAATAATTGCAAAAGAATGGGAGATAGCGTTAATACTCCGTCTCATCTCATCTCATGCTGTCATGGGTGAAGAAGGGACAGGTGGTGTTCGGAGGGCCGCCAACCAGAAGGCAACCACAAACACCAGCCCAGACGATCCCAACAGGTGTATTATGTTGTGTTACCGCTTTCTTGTGCAAAATGGGCTGGCAATGACAACCCATATTGAAAAGGGCCCACTGGATTAAGATTGAAGGTCCGTATCCTCAATCCTCGATAGAAACAACCAAGAAAGTAGTTATGATTCAAGCAAAGAACTCTTTGGGGCGGGGGGGCTCAATTACAGAATTACCCTCATTAAATCATAAAATTACTCTGTCCACATACACATCTATTATACAGATTCCATGTCCTTTGTCACAACTCTGAGAGCCCAATGGCCCTCTGCACACTTCTGACGTAACAGGAGATAGACAACAGCTTACAAGGGCAACGATTCAAGGGGAGCCTTGGCATTGAATAAACTGTGTGAACTCTGTCGAGTTCATCACCTATTGAACTAAGTAGTATTTGAAGGAAGGTGCCAGCTAGGTGGTTGCTGGTAAGGTCCCTGACTGGTCGTAGCAGGGGAATTGGCCAATTGCCATGTCATGTCTAATGTTTTTAGTTTATTGAGGAAGGACTCCAGTACCAGAGGACCCTCAAAGATTGGCCAATTTCCTTGTTATCAACTCTTTGATTTCATTTTGTTTCCAATTTTGCTAAGAGATTATCTAAAAAGCATTGCAGTCTTCTTTTAGCCAATTATTTTGGTTGAGAAGGGAATTTTAGTGTTCGGCTTTGGCCAGTGCAACACCCGTTCGAACAGTCTTTACAGCTTTGTATTAGGAATATCTCTATATTTATGTACTTTATTTCGTGGGAAGATATTTTCAATACAAGATTGCAAGAGGCTGTTTGAAACAGTGTGAGCATCAGTTTGCATTGACCAGAGTGGAACTTGGACCTTTAAACTCCTTTTTGACCTCCAAGCTAATTTGACATGTAGCCAATGACCAATGGTTATGTTGGCACAGGTTCAAATCTTGCATGCACTTTGTCATTAACCCACTAACTAGGTCTAACATATGGCACCTTGCTCTAGGAGCGTCAATGGATCAGTTTTGAGTTGGACCCCATCCAAATCAAAATCTATTTGGATGGATTGGATGGATCACTAAGACATTGAATTGGACCAGTCCAGTCTAGACTTAATGGTGCAAAGTATTTATTGGATTGGATTGGACCTGGTCCATCCATAGTGGATTTATATTAGATTGGAGTTAAACTGAACCAATATTCCGTCCATTGATAGAAAATAAGAATGCAGGTATCAATAGACCAAGTTTAGATTGGAACAAATCCAAAACTAAAACCAATTTGAACAGATTGGATGGTCCAGACGTTGAATTGGACTGGTTCAAAATGGTCTAAAATAATCATCGGATTGGACCAAATCTGATCCGATTCCCCTACCTTGTCTCCTGTGGAGGCCAAAGATGTGTTGGAACACCAACACAAACCTAATTTGCCACGGAAAAGTTTAATAAAGAATGGCCCAGTTCACTGTATACATGAACAACCCACTAATCTTTCACATCAGACTAATTCTGAACTCAAAAGAAGTCTTCATATTTTGGCTGTAAAACGAATGATAATGTCCCACGCCAGTGAAAAAATATATAGGGCCCATATCGAGAGGTTGAATGATTGTGGGCCCATGATTGAAGGTAAAACTCCACAAGTTTAGTATATGACTGACTGACTTGGCTGCATGATTGAAGGTGTGGCTAAAATCCAGTGGGTTGGTCACGTGGGGAAGCTCCCGACTTGACCTTATTTTGTAACATTTTTCCATATCATGTTGGGAGCTTCAAGACACCATCCGCTCTATTTTTGGCACGTGGAAAGACAACGTGGCCAATCTGGATCGTCCACCCTCTTGGAACTCTTTGGATGGCCACGTTTTCAGTCCATCAATCCACTTCAACCTATATCCTCACCATTGATCCTTTCCATGACTAATATTAGCCATCTATTGTTTCAATTTCTTTTTCTTTTTTTTTTTAATTTAAAAGCCATCCATATAAAAGGGCTTGTTTTATGTGCAAGGGTTATGAAGCTAAAAATTTGAAAGTTCTTATATGACTCGGAGGGAAAGATGGCAAACATGTTGTCATGTAGAACTTGGAAGGTTATAACTACATTTTAGGGGGTGTTTGGAGCATTCCTATTAAGACTCCATGAACACCTTTTGGGCATTTTTTACTTCATAACACCTAAATCATGTTTAGTTGGACAGATTTGACTTCTAACGCTTATACAACATTGTTTTAAAAACCTAACTGGACGGTCGAATCATTCAACCCGAGAACTTGTCATAGTTTCAGGTCTGATTTTGGGTTGAACCACTAAACCATTCAATCCAAGCAGCATTTTGCGGGTTTTTGACTGATATGATTATATGTAGAATTGAGAATTTAAAAAAATTTCTTTCATATATAAAAGCTGGGCATTATCAATCAACATCCTCTCTCTCTCTCTCTCTCTCCCTTTACCCCCTTATCAATCTAATAATTACTGAGTTTATTTCTAAAAAAAATTAATGGTATGGGTCAAACCGTTCAACCTAAAATGGTTGAACCACTAACCCAGAAACCGATGGCCAAAGCGGTTTTATTTCCGGGTTGATTTTTAAAACTTTGTTATACAATACCATCATTTACATGACGGTGGGGGAAGCATCCTTTTGGCATTTTCACTTTCATTGTCTTATGTGGTACCTAGTGGTTCTCGTGTTTTAAACTACAATAAACAATTGTAGATTGCATTATGTGGCAAATTATTTCCCGTATTTCCAATGCCACAATTCAGGTACAAATGTTGATAATTTAAACACCACGATACCAAACACCTACTTAACTTGTCAAATATATGATTTAACAACAAGGTCATTCAGACAAGCACTATTACAACAAAAACAAGGCCCGCCTAACAGCTTGGCTACATACCTTCACAACTTTGGCTGTAGGGAACGTTGTCCAGCACGACATGTTACCATGGGTGTGGGGAAAAGGGTAATTTCCCTTAATATTCTTTTGACCAAAAGGACAAGCAGGGGACTGAATGGGCTGATGTGTCATGCCCAAGAACATTCCCAACAGCCAAAGTTTTCTCGTAATGTATGACTGAGACTGACCAGAACTCAGAAGCGTTCTAGGGAAGGGGTAATGTAATCATGAATGCGAACTGATTTTTTATTTTTTTATTTTTGTTCCAGTCCTCAAATGGTAGCAGCTTTCCCTCATAACTATAGAATAATTTTGCCAACTTGTGCCTCTTCCTCAAATACATGCACAAGAGAGCCACATACGCATATACCTATCTTGGCTTGGGTTAACTGGAAAAACAAAACTGCTGCAGAATCCAATTCTCAGACACGGCTTGCATGCCTTTCAAAGACCATCACTAGAAGAACCATAAAACAGAAAAGCAACAAGTCCAGACTATTGCTTAGTTGTGTACAGATGCCATAATCATGAATCCAACTACCAGTTCTTCCCTCCACTGCTACGCTGGTAAAATAAATGAAACCATTTATTCAAATTTTTATAGACAACCAGAGAAAAGTGAATGTTTTTAAAATAATCATACATGGAACTAGTGAACTATTATTCCATCACTAGATAGTCTGGATTTACACAAACTGCTCAAAGACATTGTGACAGGCATTTTTCAACTCTATTTATCATAGTAATCAAAATATGTATAAACTTACCAGAGCTTGTGATACGAACCAAATGGATGCCCTACCCCCAACTACCACAACATGCTCTTCCCCATGGTTCCCAGGGAATAGGCAATGTGGGTGCAACTTCCCTCCTTTTGAGGTAACATATTTGCACCACCCTAACACTTACGAAAAACAAAACCTTCCAAAAAAAGGATGAAAATAGGAAAAAAAAAAAAGCAAGTAAAGAATTTCATCTTTTCTACAAAAGAATTAGACAAGTGAGCAGCTTGCCGCGGATCATGATACAAATTGCATGCAGTAACGGAACCCACTCCACCTCTTCCAATTCTGCAAATAATCGTTCACTGAGCATCATTTTGGGGAACATTCGCATAATACATATAGAGGCTATTAGCAGCAGCACAAGCAAGAACATTTGAGGTTGGATGCCATGCCAGGTGGAGCAACTTGGTTGAGAAATCATAAACTCCTCCATTTGCATCTGCACTCAGAACGTCAGCTCCTGATAATACAATACATGAGAACGTATCAAATTATCGGGCACGGTACAAGATGCAGTGAAGAATGACAAGATGTAAATAATGTAAGGCAGTTACTAAAACCCTAAAAGGGTCAGCAGGGGTTGGTCAATGTCCTAAAGACAAGGGGCTAGTTTAAAGCTTTGAGAGTTGGAAAAGTAATGGAGTTTGTTATTTTCTTTGGTTAAGGAGTTTGTTCTACCCATAAAAAATAAATGAACATGGATCGTAGAACAGACCACAATTCATTGATCATGGTTTTCAATCCCAAATAAGACCCAACCTAGGGTTTTTGTCTTGTAGATGGAAAATGATGTATGTGGCATGGCCCCAAGGATCTGCTTTTGCAGTTGCAGAGTGAGTGGACCAATCATTTCTAACAGAACCCACGCATGAACAGCCAAACAATTTTTGAACATCCAAAGAAATGCTCAAATCCTGTAGTTGCAATAAGCAGATAGATAAATTTTGGGCATGCAAGATTCTCACAAGGTGGAATTCCTCAGGTGTCCAGCCTCCATCCACCTCCCACCCCTTGTCTCTATGTATACCTATATTTCTGTAGGTCAATTTTATGGTCTAACAAACTGATACCTTTAACTGGAGCTTGTCCTACCATTTAATGCATGCGACCTGCAGATTCATACATGGCCTTTTGGACAGCAAGAATACAAGTATGGCAAGATATTCAGAAAATATTGAGCTTCAGGCATTATGCTATTTATAGACCATATTGAGCCCATACGAGAGTGATGAACCTTTACATATGGGTAGACCTGTTCATGGGCCAGGCTAAGGCTTGGCTTTTGTCAAAATTCTAATGGGCCTGCCCCGAAGCCTGAAGCCCGGCCCATGAACAGGTCTACATATGCGAAGGGACTTCAAAGTACTTCCTCCCTTCTGTTTTGCCAATAAGTAATTCAGTTCAGCCAATTCGGCATTTATCAAATGGGCTCATTGCTCTTATTCCTCTTTAGAATAGTAGTTAGTTTAACCCAGGATGAATAGGAAATTTGCAATAGTTATTCTTCTAAGCATGTGAGGTGATAGAAAACAAAACAGCCACACCAATACCTACCTCGTCTTCGAGAACGTGTCAAACTGGTGAAGGATCTTGAAGGCTTGGTAGGTGTCTGAGCTTGACGTCTGAACCATTTAGAGGGGTAGAAACAGAAATAAGGTAATACCCAAGAATGCATTAATGCCTTCAAAAAACCACGGAAACCTAAACTCCTGTGAGTACCTGTTAGGATTTTTACTGGCCTCTAATGTTGTTGCCTCATTACTGCCAGAAACAGTGCCAAAAACACGAAATAGGTTGCTGAATCACAGAATAACATTCAGTAAACAGCAATAAGTAGAGAAGCTGAAAACAGAACATAATAGATAAGAGTAGAAACCAAAACCTGTAAGAACCAGTGGCAACATGAAGGCCATCACCACTCAAACAGCATTCGAATTTGTCAAAGATGGAATCATTTTCATATAGATCACATAGCTACATAACAGAAAATGAATAATTATTGGCACAAGTACCAATGGGTTCAGAGATTTAAAAGCGGAAAGTCACCTTAGGCCTTAGATACTCGTGGACCTGGAAGGTTGCAACAGGTCTAGATTCCATGTTTAAATCCCAAAGCTGAAATGACAACCAACAATTTGTTAGACAGTGTATGCCCTTAGCTCCAATCAGATTGATGTACATTATGACATTTATTGTAAATGAATAAAGTACATATTTGATTCATGTTATAATGGTGTGTTTCTGTGTAATACCCTTAAACTGGACACTTATG